AAAAGAATTATCGAAATCGGTTAACGTGGTCCAAAGTTATGAGGTAACATACCTAAAAAATAAACTATTCCTCCTCCTTTTTTTGAAGTCGGTTAAAAATTAGTATAGCATTTAGTACATGGTCGGGATAAATTAAGACGTAGTTAGACCAAACTTTTAATTTAGCGACGAAAAACAATTTTTTTTTTTCAATCAAGAGTTTTAGTAAATGATGTTGCCTATAATTTGATCGATTTAGTGTCATTGCAGAGCCCCTGTGTGGCTTGCAAGCCGTAGCTTACTACCATATCAAAAATTATTCCGGGGATGGAGTGGGAGGGATGCTTAAAACACCGTGTGATAGCCAAGCTGGGTTAGCGTTGACCATAACTTAAAATCCCAGCGACTTACCACTTCACTGTGCTCAGCGAGGAGGGAGTTGAGAACTGCATAAAAAATGCATATCCACTTAAGAATGTTTGAATCACTTTTTAACACAAGTGCATAAGTTCAACCCTTAAGCTCGAGGAAGCTGAAAGGCCATAAAGTAAATGCTGCTATGATTTCACCTCAACGGCTTCCACGCAGCTGTTAAACTATGGCCTTGCCGAATGAATTTCAATTGGACAATGGCGGGTTAAGTTCTCACATCACTAACCAAACATTCGTCTTGTTTAGCTTTAAGTCGAACAATTTTTTCATTTCTGTGAACTTGAGCAGTTGCCAACAAAAATGCCAGGCGGACCCGAGTGCAGTTTTTATAAAAAACTTGTTATCTTTCTGCCACGTTCATTTCAAATTACATATCGTTGGAAATCTCAAAAAGAGCTTAGCCATTTGCGAGAAAAGCAAAAATTGTACATTGTCTGGAAAATAGAATACATTTTTTTGGTGAAAATTTTTGCAAAAAAAAAAAATTTGAATAAAATTTTTAGTTTCCACTACTAAAAAGTTCTAATAGGTAAGCAATTTGTGATTCTCTATCACAAGTGTGACTTGATATAAAATTTAAAGAAAACTTATTACCTTTTTGGTCACGGAAATAATAAACGCGTTGAAGGTCACATTAAAACAAAACTACTTCCGGTTCAACAATAAGATATATAAACAGATTAACGGGTTAGGAATGGGCAATCCGACGTCAGCAATACTCATGGAAGTATTCATGCAAACACTGGAGGAGAAATACATGAAAAACCTATCGACCAACCTAGGAGTAAAATTCTACGCGAGATATGTCGATGATGTAATATGTCTAATAGAGGGAAACAAAGAGAAACAGATACTAGACTATCTCAACAAACAACACCAGAATATAAAATTCACCATGGAAACGGAAGAGGAAAGAAAGATTAACTATCNTAAGCGCCAAAATATTATTATTATTAGTGAAAACAAGACTGGTTGGCGGGGAAATAGAGATAACAGATACACAAGAACTTTTGTCCTAAAGCATGAAAATCAGTCTATGCTCGCGATGATTAAATTTTTTGTTTGTTAACTTAAAATTGTTGAAGTCGTTCATACAGCTTTTAAAACTTCTAGTCAAATGTGTGTGATATTTTATTCCCTTTAGCATATCTCCAAGAAACCAACCCCAGTGTTCTTTGAACAACCCCCACAATGAGCTGAATTGCCGGTTCTCAAAAGCCAACAAAGCCTTCTAATTTTTTTTCCACATTATCAACAGATTTGTAACAGATTTGTAGAGCGTAATTTTTCTTTGTGGAAAAAAGGCTTTGGTTTATAATTGGCTCTCAGAGACCACGAAAGTGTAACGGCTTCTAGTTTGGCTGAAATTGGCTCTTAAACGTCAAGTGGTTATAGTTTTGAAAAAATTAATAAACACACAAATAAACTCTTTTTCTGTAATAAGATAGCGTCAATTTTTACATACGAGTACATCGATATGTGCTGTCCCAACATAAAAAATAGCTTTGAAGTCATTGTTTTTGAGTTAATGCAGGCAATTGTTGTTAATCCACTGCGAATTATGAGAAGATATATTTAATCACTGTATCACAAAAAAGTGACTAACAACACTCGAAGCCATCAAAAGTATTTTGTACTGTGGCCAAAAAAAAAAGCTCGCAACAAAGCAAGCTAATATTTATCATTGTCATAATTTATAACATAACTATTTTTAAGCTTTACAAATTGAAATAAATTTGAGATAGTTTTTGTGGGGAAAAATTAATAACAAATACATAACTACGAGTGTGTAAGCATATTTTTATGCTTTATTTTTGGTTTGTTACTTCCATGTGTATATACAGGGTGTACATTAGCGATGCCATTTAAATAAATTTATTTCTTTTCGACAGTAAGAGTAGAAGGGTTTTGATGGACAAATAGTTTCTTTGTTCTTATTTGTTTTTTTAATTTTCACTAACTACTGACACAATGATAATAGATTGGTGCTTACACACATGTTAGTGTTTGGCCGAGCTTCTACTGACATCCTTAGCTGAAATTCCAAGAAAGGTTGCTTCAGTTCCGCTTTTTTTAGAATACGCTTTTCACTTAGTGCTGCTCCGAATGCATTGCTAAACCTACTCTCATTTAATGTCCTTATGGTCGGAGAGGCCCTTAAGGTCCCCTACAGGCCCAAAAGAAAAGGGTGCTGGTATGATAAATACAGCACCAATTGAGTTTAGACCTAAATATCTTGTCACTCGGACATCTCTGATAATGACGTTTGACTAGAGAGACCTTGATCCACAACTAATTAAGCCACTCCCTTTTTTTGGTCATTGAAGCCACCATTAGAAGCTGGGTAAATATTTGGCTCCGATTTCGTTCATATTTGGAAAGGTTGCTTTAAAAATATTTGTTTTTACAATTAACTTATTTCTCTTTTCAGATGATTAATACAAACACCAATAAAATGACTTCAAGCCCAACAAATGAAATTGGTTAATTAAGTAAAACTTTATTTTCTTACAAATTGCTGCTTAATTTTTTATTCAAGTCAAAATATATAAAATATTTTTTTTTAAGCACCCTGCACGACTACAATAGTTTCATAAAAATGTGCACATTTTCCAACAAATTCATATGTATATGTATAGTACACCTGATCTTCTTAAATGTCTCTTAATGTCCTGAACTCCATTAAATTAATTGCTTAACTGTTGAAATTATTTTCAATGCAATTTTTTCGCTTGCATTTTGTTCTTTTTTTATAGAATACAAAGTTTTTGTGTGCCATTAAGCATACATGCATTTCTGTATGTATTTATGCATGTATGTGCATATGCATGTTATTGTTCTATTGTGGCTTAAATACACACTTTAGGCAACCGATGTTTTTGTTTAAGTATTACTCGCAGGCTACGAATGTGTGTATTCCAACAAAGTCAAATAGGCACCTACACATTTTAATCCTTAATACTGAAGTGGGATTGCAATTGATATTTCATTTTGGTTTTCAAGAGTTAACAATTGCGCTACTACAATAACATGATTGCTAAATGCGTATATACATACATACATATATATGTACGCACACATGTATTGAAGAGCTGACCATTAACGTGACACAAAAAAATATTGTTCTAAATCCGTTAATACCTTTGCCGTTAAGAGTTTAAAAACGCTAAAAATCATAGCGCGATTTTTTAAATTCTGCAATACAGCATTTTTGGCGCAAATTCGGAGGTTATTAAACTCAATGTTATATCTATGTGTTTTTAAACAATTCCTTTTTATTAATTATTATTAACAACAATCTTTTATTCTTAGAATTGAAAGCCCTGATTGATTTTAGATATGTAACGTTTAAAGTACCTAAGCAAAATTTCTAATTTACATTCGAATTCCATATTTTTGAAACCTGACTGAAAATTTATAATCAGCGGTTGCATAAACTAGTTGATACAGGGTGGTGAAAAAATTCCTCCTATTGAGGCCATTGTGTGTCGCAAGAAAGTTGTCATACAAAAGTACTCAGCTGGGTCGCAAGATGCAAAATTTTGCAAAAAGCGCAACATTTGCCAAAACTTTGCGGTGTTTAATGCAATTCACTAATAATAATTCAATATTGCAGTAATTTGACTTTAAATACATGAGTATTCCAAAAACCGAAAAAATTTTTATTAGATTCCATTCGCGTATTAGTGGAATTGAAAAAATTCGATCCGTTTGCCACAAAGTAAATACATATATGTAAATAATTAATTATTTTAGCTAAATTGATTTAATACAAAATATGCACCTACATAGATATATGGTCATATTTTATTTATTGATTTTGAATATATAAATTTGCATACGTAAGTATGTAGTATGTATGTTTAGAAACAACTAGCACTCATTGTAACTGCTTTCAATAAAATAAATAATACAGCATATTTTATGGGCAAATATGAATTCGCTTATTTATTTATAAATATTGAGGGGAAATTATGCACACAAATGTGCATTTATTGTTGCTCAAAATTTGTGTTATTATAGAACAAAAATACCTATTCAAAAATTTACAAATTAACATATGTATGTAATAAAATTCTAGCACCACCAGCAGGAGTGCGGCAAGGAAGCAGTACTTTCAAGAGGAAAAAAGGAAGACCAAAAAGAGTTAAGTGCGAAAAAATTGGTCTCCAGACGGCCGCTCTATCCCATTACTATCAACCCAGCAGTCACCTGACGATAGTGAGGATTAAAATTTTCTAAAGAATTCTTCCATGGAAAATTTTACTAGAGGTCTTTTACCAAAGGTCATGTCACCGACGTAAAAGTATCTAAAAATTAAAATAAATTTTGTTTTCTACATGGAAAAAGTTCAAAGTTGGCTTTTTCTACAGAGAATTTTTTACAAGTGAGTTTGGCTGTTATTCCTTCTGGGAATAGATTTTTAGGGACCTTTACGCTAGCGACATGAAGTTTTTGCCTGAGAAGACTCTCGGTAAAATTTTTCGAAGAATAACTTACTAGAACATATCAATTCTCTAGCAAATGCAGTATAAATAAAATGAATACACATACAGTACAAGTAAATAGAGTCATCAACAGCTACTTACCAATAGTTGCCAAAAGTGCGGCGATAAAGAATTGAATGGAATTCATGTTGAATCCTTTCCAATTTACGCAGTAATCCCGTGCAATCAGCATAAATCCATAGCAGACTTAAATACTTTTACGTTTTTTGTCGCGCCACTTTTTTCCCGCTTAGCGCGCGTTTACACACATTCCAACCAATGAACATTAACCGGCAACAATTTCATGTTTTTGTGTATTTGTTTTGATATGAATTTTTTTTTTTTGCTTACCCTATACTAAATATATGGATTTTTTTTTGTGTTTGACATTGTTTTCTTTTCTGGCTTTTTCTGCTTTGCTTTTGTTTGCTTAATGCTTTCTGTGAGCAGCGTTGGAACAGATGTCAACTCGCTTTAAGCTGAGAAAACGGATATAATATATTTATGTATGTGTGCCGATAAGTGTGTAGAAGTTATTATAGAAAGTACGTCCACCCATAGACAGTTTATTTAGGTATTTGATGATATTTATGTGTGGCATTAAATATTTATATATCACTTGAATTCTGGAAATTTGCAAAGGATCTGCTTGCTTAGAACTGGCTACATTTAACGTTTCTCTGGAAAATCAGTTCTGGGGAAAATAGTCTTGTTAAATGAATGTTCGGCAGAAATTAGTTATATGTCCATTTATACAAAATTTGTATTCTCATTTTTTGATTTTAGTAAAAAATTCATATTGCGTATGTACGGCTACGATCCAGTGTCAAAGGAATAATATCTATGTATATTAATTTTTCTTCAAAATAGGCGTGAGCACTTTTTTGGTTACTTGTTCGGATGATTTTAGATCATGTCCCGGCTGTTTTCATATTGAGAGGCGGATTTTTACTAAAAGAAGATGAGCTGTATTGGATATAATACCTCGATACTACAACTTTAAAAAAGTTTCCATTGTACCGCTAGTTCACTTTTATCCTTTATATTTACTAATAAGTTAAAACAGCACTTATGTAGTTATATATTTCACGTTTTAGCGATCATTTGCTTGGTATTTTCGCGTCGTGTTTATCTGAAAATAAAAATTAAAATATTCTAAATATTATATGAAAAATTTAGGAAGTGACTAGTGATGTTAAATTTAAAATAAGTTATTAATTAAGCGTAACAGAACAAGGAACACTAGGCACGGTTCGCCTGAAGAATGTTTTTTTAACCGACTTCCAAAAAAGTAGGAGGTTATCAGTTCGTCGGAATATATATATATTTAATTTTTTTGTATTGTTTTTTTTTTTTGAATGTATGTTAGCGCATAAGATAGTTTTGCAAATTATATAATTTTCCAAAACAATTGTTACTTAAACAACAAAAGCTTTTATTTACGAGAAATATCTTTTAGCCCAAAAAATTTTGTCCATGATACATATTGCACGCTTGTACTGAAAGGGTTAATATGTACTTATTTCAAAAGTAATGTATTTCTGAGAATTAGGTACAATCAACAAATATGAAGAAATAATTAGCTAACACTTAAGTAAATGTGAGCAACGTTTTTCATCATATCAAATTTATATTTTAGATTTAATTTATATAGGTATAAATTTAAGTCGGAATGCTAGAATCAAATTCTACTTGCATTAACGCTTTTGAATATTTTTTTTGTTTTTTTGATAAAATTCCATAAACATGATTAGCTGCCCAGACAACTTGCAGACAAAGCAGAAGTATTGGAATTTATTTATTGCAAAATTAAGTAATTTTAGCTATAGTAATAATTCAATTTAAGACGGAGAAATTTGTAAAGCCATCATCAATGTACTTTGAACTATCACCAGGGAGACGTTAAAAATAAATAAATGAATTTTCAATACATGCGTATCATATTTTTGGAATTCATAATTACAGACGCGAATAAGGGGGGAATATTTGCCAACTCGGACAGACAGAAAGCCAGACAGCAGAGCTCAGAGTAAAATGGAAGACAAGCTAATATTTACTTTATTATAAGTACTCGTACTGATAAACACGCGCAAGAAATCCTCAGCAAAAAAAAAAGCACTAGAGCCAGAGTTGAACAGAGTTGGCAGTTGAGAGTAGATATGTTTTTAGTCTCTCAGTGATGCCATGCTATGAAACTAACTGAAATTGGAAATCAACTCAAAACTAAATATTTGGTGGTAAAAATATACTACCAGTTTGTCTTTAAGGTTAAGGGGTACTCAGACCCAAAAAAAAGAGTCCCCTTTATTATTAAAAGGATTTAGTTAAATGGTAAAGTGTTTAAAAATGTTAGCGAAAGGCTATCATGAAATTTCATGACCGTAAGTAATTTGGGTGTCGAAGTATTTCTGTTGCTTGGTGGTACGTTTGTACCATCTCTTCGTATATAAAGGTTAAGCTTTCGCATGTATTTGGGGTCAGAACAAATTGTCAACGGCGATTGTATTTTCATGAGAAACTCTTTTTCATGGCAGCAGTACCATCGGTCTACTGGCTGTCTGCTGCACTTAAAAAATGCACGCTATGCCAAAATTTTCCCAATCATTACACACGCAATCGAGTGGCGAGTATTTTATTATAATCCACATCACACATACACCCATACACCGTACAGCTCATGCAAAACATTGTGCCAATACTTATCTCTACAGACTGGCTGAGCGCACATTTATCACTCGTCGTCGTCGTTCATTTTCGCTACACGCGATATTAGCGTCAGTAATATTGGCAATCAAAAGTTTTAGCCGCCAGCTAAATATTCAAAACAGAGCAAGGAATTAAAAAGGATAGAACAAAAGTGTCTAAAATAAATAGGTATGCAGAAAACTACAACAGACACTGGTTAGTTGAAAGTATCGCATCGCCAAACAGCAGTTAGCGCATTTTGCTTCCTTGCGTAAGCCACTCGTCTGATGTGCGTTCCAGATGCCCAACAACCAACACAATGACAGCAACGAATGCCACAGAGCAGAGTCAGTGGCTAAGCTATGTACATCCATATTCGCACAGCCACATAACCCAGCCCCAAAGCCAATGCCAAAACCGCATCCACAGTTAGTGTCAGTTAGTTGCTGACTCTTCATTGCTTTGTGTATTCCGCTGTCAGCCAGCAATTTTAGTTGGGAAGTGCGATTTTTTGCTTCGCTTGATTTTTGTGGCACTGCCGACCGTCTGAACAGTGGAGTTCATGCACTAGCCGGTACGAGCGTACTTGTACTTGCACCTACATAGTATGTATGTAAATATTTAGTTGGCAAAATATCCCAGTTGGAGGTGGGTTTCTTTCGTTTGATTCTTCAAAATTTGTTTGAAGCAAAGCTTTTTCCGATGCGTATAAATAGGAAAATAAATGCACAAGCTTGGTTTTTTAATGAAAAAAAGGCGGGATGCAGTTAATCTCCGAGTGTGTTTCTGCCAACAAAAAGCTTCTAATTAAAACCATTTTCCGTTCGGAGGTGGCGATAAAGTACAGGTCCCTCCATTTGTGTTTCAAAATAAAAACGCACATAATAAATTGGAGAAGAAGTTCGACCAAACACTTACCAAATACGTGCGCGCCAGACTTATTTTTCTTATTTTTTATTCACGCAAAGCACGGTGGGACTCTTGAACGATGCCAAGCTGCTCGAAAGAAGAGGGTGGTATCCTTTCAAGATGAAGAAAAGTGAGTAAAACAAAAATCGAAAAGTTTGAGATGCTTCCAGGCAGCAATGTGTCTCAAAAATTCTACCGAAAGTAAGGCAGCAATATAATTTTAATAGGAAAATTTTAATAGGAATTTCAATACGAAGAAGGAAAGGTCAATCGGAGCAACATTCTCTAGCAAAGAGAAGAAGGTGGAAGAAGTTAATCTCCTACGATGATTGGAGACTTGTTGACATTTGAGAAGTAATGAAGGACTTTCTCCAGCTGGAATCCAGCTAAACACTTAAATAATATAGTAATAAATAATTCACAGCCAGAACATCGGCGTGTACACATTTGTCGCTACTCTTTGAGCCTTGTTGGCCCCATGCGACCACTTATGTAACATATTTTGGCGGAGGTAAGTTTTTGTTTTTGTATCTAAGTTTAAAGTGAAAGTTATGCTTTTCTTTCTTAAAGTTAACTATAACAAAAAGCTTTAATATTTATGGCAATATACATTTCGTTTTATTTATTTAGTCACGGTTAGAACATAGTCGTGTACACATGAGTGGCGGAGGTAAATTTTCGGCGGAGGTAAGTTTTTAATTTTGTTTTTTATTTTTTTTTAAGTTCGAAGTTGAAATTATATTTTTCTCTTTTTAAGTTAACGATAATAATTTGAGTACTTTAATATTTTTGCTAATACACACTTGGTTTTTTTTTTTTTGAAAACTCTTTTTTCAACACTTTTATTGGGATCACTGGGGACCCCATGCGACTAATTGTGTGATTTTCTTTCGGCTCCAGGCGCAGGGGTAAAATTGACCAAATGCAAGAGTTTGTATCTGAACTTGGGATAGAAAGCTGGCGAAACTCCAGACGGAAGAGTTGTAATTGGTGAAGTTTTTTTTTTATTGGTATCCGCCCAACCGGACCTATTAAGAGGAAGAGATTCTGCAAAAGAACCCCTTATTTTTCAATTTTGAATTTTACTAAAATATTATTTCAACACAATTGATCAGCATAAATAAATAATGACTTAACGTTATCGATATAACTCTCAAATTGAAGGTGAAACTAAAAATAATAGTTTTTTACACATTCTAAAAATTTTGATCAAATTTCTAAGAAATATTTTGAATATACAGCTTTGTAGCCCACTCAATTCAATAAATACAATAAACTGCAAGTGCAAAGTAGTCGGAACTAACCGTTGATGTTTTGCAATATTTTTGTTGACAATCTCGTAATTTCCTTTCATACTATTTACAAGATATCTAATTAGAAAGCTCTAAATTTTTACGAACGTTTGTTGATTTTTCCAAATGTTGCACAAAGTCTGAAGCTTAGATTTATACGGGGTTTGTCAAATAGTAAACTTTATTTTTATAAACAAATAACCAAAATTAAAAAAAAAAAAATTTATTCAAATGGTCAAGTCATGTCAATATGTGCTGTCTTAAAGTTATGGCAAGCACTGTATTTCTAGGTGCGATATTTTTACATTCATAGATAAAAACTAACTTTGCCATTCGTTTTTCTACTGGGATATTAGTGTTAGTGCGTACAAAAAAAAAAAAAAAAAAAAAAAAATTGTTACATAGATATTTCATTTTTTCGCTTTTTGTTCCCTTCGCAAATATTTCGCTTTCGGTTTCAGCCGCCATTACAGCATTACAACAATATTTTATCATCCTGGCACTTTGTCATATTTTTGTGTAATGGAGCGGGTCATATATTCTTTTTTGTATGATTGTACCAGTATCTATGGTCACCAACGCATCCACCCCTGCTTTGTTGATATTCGCTTTGACCACTTGTGTTGCTATCAGCAATACATCATCGCATTGTAGCTTTCACTAGCTAGCTGGTTTTTTTTTCTTCATTTATACATACATTTCGGGTTTTTGTCGCTTGTGGTGGCTATGAATTTCGTTTGCCTACACACTGTGACGTTTCGCTGGTACTGGTTTGCGTATTTTTAACAAAAACCAAACATCTAAATTGGTTTCGTAATTAAAAAAAGGAAAAACCCCAAAAAAAGAGTTTGACGGACGAGCTCATTGACCTTAGCAACTGTGCGTATATGTTTGTTTAGATGGCATTTGAATTTATGAAATTTAGTCAACTGAAAAATGCCAGCGAGTTTTATGTGCGAAATATTGTTGTTGGCATCACATACATACATACATAGAATGCCATAGCCATTATTCACATGAGTAAATCTCTGTATTCTCTCTGCTTGAAATGTGAAAATACAAACATATTCATTAGGGTGGTCCTTAAAAATACCAGCATCAAACTTGCGTAAGAGGCACGATTTTGTTTGGTTCCACGTATAAAATAAAAATTATAAAATAGTTTTAAGGCGTCACTACTAAGGTTTAAAATAGCTGGCCCGATGAAACAAACGGTATGTCGTGTGATATGTAGCTTCGTTTTGGTGCCAACGTCGGTACAAAATTTATATGTTGATATTTTAAGGATCACCCTAATATTCATGCATAACTAATTACGAGTATGTGAGCAAACGTGTGTTTCCATATTCGCCTCTGGGTGTCTGTTAAGTTGTCACTGGAATCAAATATCCGAAAGTCGAGTAAAGGCATGCAGAGTTGATGGAAGTTTACTGCAGTTACCAAATGATTTATTCTCTCTCGCTTTTGTTGGACTAAATATATGAATGACATAAGGTGGTGTGGCTATTTCCTTTACTATATACACCCTAGGAGATTTTAGTATACATATTTGGCCAAATTTTCAAATTTTTCACTTGCATTAATTTGAATAAATCGAGTAAAAGGTGCGAAACTTTAAGAAAAAGCATTGATTATATTCTAATCACACGGTCGGCATCTATCAAATCAATTCAAGCATACTAAATTAAGTGGTGCTAATAATTTTTCCAGGTTAAGTCATTTATGATTTGATGTTTTACTTTAAAACTCCTTCATTTAGGCAGGTAAAACCGTGAAGCTTCGTGAGCTGTTCATTAATAAGCAGGGCATGGATTTTATGGAAATGGCCTTTCTTCAGATAAAGAGCTAGAATATATTTGATTAGAAATGTCCACGATATACGTTTCCCTGATTCCATATACATATATGTAATTATTTGATATTGCCTTTTTTGCCGTTTTTAGGATATTTGCCTTTTTTTTGCCTATTGTACCTTTAAAAAAGCGATTAAAGCCTTATTCCTGTTAATATAATAGTTTCAAACGTTCCATTTTTGAATTGGGCGCCACTTGTATCAACTCACGTCGAGCGCACGTTTAGTACATTCAGGGATGGGTTAAAGCCTATTCTGTTACAAAAAAATCAAGTTGAAGGAAATCGATCAATAAATAAAGAATCCCAAAAAGCATTTCAGTAAATGTTTTTAAAAATAACTTAAAGTAAGTTTGCTATAATAAGCGTTAAATAAGCATTTTTAATATTAAGCTTATTACAAGTTTTTTCAAATAAACATTTAATAAGTTTTGAGAGCGAATGTTTATAAATAACTTAAACTTATAAATGAAATGCAAATGCCAACGACATGAAGTAGTAAATATAAATTTTTTCAATCGTAAGTGACGTGTTTACGTTTTTTAAAATGTTTTATTAAAAGGAAAAAATTAAATAAAACCAATGCGGTAAAAAAAAATCCAATCCAGGACCCGCTGCGCTAATCGGTGGAGCATTCGAGTCTTCAAATGATGAGTTTTCCTTATCCTCTCTTAGTTTGACATTCAATTAAAAAAGTATTTCTTTCAGAAAAGTTCATCAATGAGAATGGCGGCGATGAAGCGGAATATATAGCTACATCGATGTCGTTTTTCCAATTTGCCAATATTGTAATTGAAAGCACGCAACAAGATATAATAATTAACTTTTTTATGCTTAATTTTTGTGTGTTATCGTGAATTTGTATGCTAAAATGTCTATTCCCTATTTACATTTTCGCGACTGTAGATGAGTCCGCCGAAAATTCGCATTTCTTTTAGTTTCTAGATGTTAAGCAATTTATGTATGAGTTTTTATTGAAATATCTTTAAATAAAGGGTTATAAAAATGTTTATAAAAAGCTTTTTTTTCTTAAATTTTTAGTAAGTTTATATTCATACGCTTATAAACAACTTTTTTTGAACCTTTATTATAAGTTTACACTTTTAAGCTTATAAAAAGCTTTCTTTTGAACATTTATTAAAAGTTTATATTCCTACGCTTATAACCAATGTTCCTTTTCGATTATATTACGCTTACTTTCAAGCGTTTTATAAACAAAAAATCAACGTTTTGTAAGCTTAATGTTTATAATTGAAAACTTAAAAAAAACTTTCTTTAAGTTTATTTTGCTTGTTGGGGAAGTAATAAATGGGCAAAGATTTCTTTGTGTGAAAAATGAGCAGGAAAGAATGTTCCTCATACGCCATGTACACCTGGAAAAAACTCGAACACTTATTCATAGAATAAAAAATTAACTCGATTTTCGGAATCAGCGAGCAATTCTCTATAGGAATTGGATATGTCTTGGCGTCCATTGAACATTTTTCCTGTTAACCAGTGTTATTTTTAAGTTTTTGTTTTTTGTAGTGCCTTCTTTTGGTTTTTTTTGCTATTTCTAGTGCATTTTGCTGTTTAAATTAATGTTTTCATTGCATGTCAACAAGTTACTCATACGCCCCGACAAACGGTGAATATTGATTTACATAAATGGTGTATACCACCGTCACGGGTGACACAAGTGTAATATTCTATCTTTATTAAATTTAGGGACCATGTATTATTTGAAAACGTACCTATTCAATTCAATTATTCAATTTTATAAGCATTTTCTGAATGCACATTTGCACGGTGCTTTTGATTGCAATGAAATTTAGTAATCGATTTTCTTGGTTTAAATTTTTGAGGTAACTACATAGTTATAAATATGGGCTATTGCAACGCCAAGCGCAATGCCCGCTCTGTTTTTAAAAAAACCATCTGTTATTATAGATTTCTCTGTCGTCTCTATGTTAATAACGATTACCTTGGCGTTTCGAGCTGACTGCGCTAAATATTTCACTACATCGCATTGCCCACCAACACTCTCTTTGACATCGATATTTGCACAAAAATATTATACGAAAAATGTGTTTGATGTTACACTCAACCCTGTAAAAGGGCATGCTTTTTTCTTCTTATTTTAGAATCGAATACGAAAATAGAAAGGGACAATGAAAAGATGACCTTTTAGGTATAAACTAAAACACCATTAGCCATGCTGAGTTCAAATGTTTGGGGGCATTAAACGTATGTAGGTGTGGAACGTTAAAATTGTTTTTCTTTAGTAAGGCTGCCCAAAATTTTCTTCAATGAAATGTTAATGTATTGGGATTTTCGATTGGATTTCGAGCACACTTTAAAATTTTTCAAACAATTCTGAATAGAAAATTGGAAATTTTGGTGATTTTTTTTGTTTACATTTACATTTCTACTTTCGGATTTTCTTTTATTTTTTGAGGCACACTATAATTGTTTTTATTATGTAAAAAATTTATGTATTTACAGCAAAAGGAGAGTAAATTTTCTGCACTGTGCAAAGTCCGAAGCGCTGACCACTGCACATCGATGACGCTGCTACATGCACACATCCATATATATTTTTGTAAGTATGAAAATGATGGATTCAGAAGGCAGACAGAATGCCAAACTATATAATGCATATAGCAGTACATTGCGGTGAGACTACTTTTAAACTTACTCGATTATGCATGCAGGTATTTATTGGCGGTCTGCATGTTGGATAATAAATATATACATATATATTTTTCTAATTATGTAGTTGTTTTTGTTATATATATGTTAGCACAGTTGTTATTAATGAATGTACATTGTGCACTGATGTGTTGCGATCTACAAAATGTTGCATACGCATTATTAACATAGCTTTATCGTGCTTGTGGCCGCCGATGGCAAAACTCCGCGCATAAGCCAAATAAATGACCACAGTTTAGCAAGCACTAGCAAATGGATAAATCCACATACCTATGCATATGGTTGCTTATATAACAAAAAAAAAAAAAAAAAAAAAAAAAAAAAAAAAAAAAAANAAAAAAAAAAAAAACTGCATTACTGGTTTTTAGATTAAAATCGCTCATGGCTTAATTTCAATGACAATTTCCATTTGCGCACAATGCAATGAAAACAAAAATAAACGCCATCAAATTATTGTATTTAGCAGCGCTGCAATTTTAGTACATATGAGCAAATATGCTAAATGTCAGAAGTGTGCAAATTATTATTGCCAAATTGTAAATGCTTGTTTGTGTGTACAGATGTGCGATTGCATGTTATTTTGTTGAACTCTGGTTTAGCTAACAGCTGTTTATGATTTTTACTCCATAGTTTGTTTAATATATGCATTTTCGCATTTATTCGTGCTGGTTTGTTCAAAGGCCATATGGAAATTTCCCATAATTGCACGGTTGCCTTAATTCCAGTGCGAAAATGAGAATATAATGAATAAAATTACACAGTTCAACAATAAAAAAATGAATAATAATTTTTTGCCTCCGACATATCGTTAGTGGTTTGTTATTAGGTGTGCATTCACAACACTAGAAATATTTTTTTTAGTTTTTTCCTACGTGTGAATTCGGCTCTATTCTCTGTATCGGTACAAATGCTTGCCAAACTTTTTTATATGGAAAAATATGTGGAAAAGTTTAAATTTGTCAGTAAACATTTTTTTGTCAGAATTGGGCTATTAATGTCGGTTATCTTGAACTTTCGACTACAATCCCTGAGAATACCATCCTTGTAACTTGACTCTTAGGTCACTTATACTCATTTATTTTACAGATCAGAAAAATCTGCACAACTTTGCAATATTTATATTTTTATTGTTCAATAAATGACTTCAAGTGACCATCAGGTCCAGGTGCTTTCTTTGCTAGAGCTTCTCAAATATTGCAAAAAACGCGATGTTTCACACCTTGACCTCGTTTTTTCAAAATCTGGAGCTGATGGAAACTTTATACTTACCAACACACTTTAGCAACCTTCTACCTATGAAGTGTTCACATAAGAACTAACATAAAACATAAAATTTCAAACCAGTGTAAGGTGTGCTGCAAAAGTTATGACATAATTAATTTTTCATCTCTTAAAAATTACATAAAAAATTCACTTGGGTATTTCAACATTTTGTTCCATCCGTGATTTATCATTCGAATAAATCTTCAACGAAGTAGGCAAGGACAGTCATTTTGAAGGACTAATATCTACAAAGCTAAAATCTCTCACCCCAAAAACGTAAAATAATTTGACAATGGATCTAAAATATCTAAAGACCCTGCAGAAGTTTTGCTTATAGATGCCAAAAAAAAATTTGTTGATCTCACGTAAAAAATTGACGTTCTATCATACAAGAGAGCAAGGCTTGCTATCATTTTTTTTACTCCGAAAAATTAAAATTTGTTCAAGCGTGCAAGGCCATATTCGGGAGAATATTTGGAGGCACACGAAGGCGGTTTCAACAGGACTTAACAAAAACGTGTATTTCTGATAACTTTTAAATACACACATCTGTATGATGTATTTTTTCATGTGTATTTACATATCCAGGGCTTATACTCAATACCCTCTAGGCACTTTTCACCTAGGCCTTAACTTATATAACGCTTGACAGAAGAATTTACTTTTAAATTGCAAAGTCAGAATTAACATCAGTGATGATAGGTAAATCCCAGATAGGTTCTAACATCACAAAGTAGTTTTTGTAAAATTGCAGATATTGCAGATATTGAATATAAGCCCTCGATATTTAAATAGGTAGACCTTTTCTGATTTTTTTTTACGTGGGTAAATTGCGTCTAAACTGCGCCTATTATATTACCTTTAACCGCTTGTTAATTAGTATGATTATATTTATACCAAATGAATATTTGTTTATATATTTTATAGTGATAACATTAGAGTGTATCCCAAAATAGAGGGTGGTTTCTAGACAACGGGAAATATGCAAATATTTTTCTCGAAACAGTTAAACCTCCAAACATATTTAGTAGTAGTAGATTAGTATCGTGGCGATACCTTATATATATGGCAACATCTTTAAATTTTATGAGCTCTCGCTCTATGTTGTAAAAACCACATTTTTGTTGCTATGAACTTAGATTATGGCCTTACTTCCAAACGTGGGATCTCTGTTTGCCACCATGCGCAATGATCTCCTGCCTAATACGGGGACGCACATTGGTCGAAATGACCTGTTTCAGCGGCAGTAATTCACAGAAAGAAGTTTGAGCTGTAATATTTGGCACATGTATTAGTGACAGTTAAAGAAATGTACAGTGAAAAAATCAGCTAGTTGGATCGATATATAGGGGAGTTATATCGATTTATATGTCCGTCCGTCGAAATATTGTCCAACCAATTTTTTTTTTTTTTAATATTTATTAAATCATATTATCAAATTAATTTCTGTACTCAAATACATTAAATAACTTAAACAATATTCTCTGAAAGGTTTATATATAACATCTATCCAGACGGTTCATCAATACTTATTCTAACTGTAAAGAAAGATAAGGTAAAATTAAGAAAATTGTTATGTTAACATTTGTAAATAAACTCTTACGTCAAAATATTCCAACGTCTTCATCACCACTTCCATTAAATTTCGCAGATATCCAATTAAAAACGCGTCTTGCATTGTGGTTATTTTCTAACCAAAAACTTACAATATCGGAATTGTTGATTTTGATGGTGCCTGAAATCAGTTATATTATGAGTTGGGGTAAATTGGGGCAAAAGATTTTTTCACGATATGAAAGCTCACATCTTGACCTATCTACAGATATAAATAACTTTGCGAATGAACTCGAATGAAGACGGTTCTATTCCAATAAACACAGACGCCACCACCAAAACGTCACTACAAACACGACACACTTTAACGCAGATTTTCATCAAACACAACACTTTTATTTAGAAAATAATTAGAACATATTGTTATACATACCTTGAGAAGTAATTTCCATTTTTTAGATATTTGTATTATATCAACTATTATTAAAAAAACATATGTTTCTATTTCACTATTTTGAAGTAAATCAACAGAAAACGAAGATGAAAAAATAACTGTTGTTTTGACAGCTTTGTTATAAAAACAGAGATGCCACCTGGTCATAATTTTTTCGTTTTCGGGTATTCTAAATAGTTTCCTACAAAGTGCAATTCTTAGTTTTAACAAAAACATAACTTTAAAAATGGACTTTCTGCCGCTGAAACCGGTAATTTCAACCAATGTGGGACGGTGGAATAAAAGGTGTTACACATTTTTTTCTCCTTCTAGGATCTTTCCATTACAATAATGTTCTCGTATGTTCATCCCGTTCTTATGGCTTCTATGTTAATTAGGTAGTGCGCCACTAGGTTAAATAAAACTACTTATAGGATAAATAAAACTACTTATAGAAAAGACCCAGAACTCGAAAAGCGTTTCTTTTAATTAAAAACCGATATCAACACATTTATTAATTCGGTTGAAATCAATTACGGCTCTATTAATGGAAGTTTTTCGTGCATATAGAGCACTGATTCCCAAAGTGGTCCAGGAGGATCCCCAGCGGTCCACGGGCGACTCGACAGGCCACCTGCAGACTAAAAAGGAAAGAATTTTGGTATAACACTGAGTTAGGCGATGTGGAATTGTCGGCGGTGGATATTTGAATACTTGCGTATTTTCAATGCTACAGGACAGTACGCCACCATTGCCTTTTTTGAAGAGATTCTAGAGTAAGAGAGGGTTCCCTGATGGCAGATGCTGGTTTTATTCAAGCACTGAGCCCGCACTCGTACATTTTTGATCTTTACTGATGGCCCCAAAACTGACTTAGGGTCGGGATCAGGAGTACTTTTCGAAGTAGACTACATGGTCACAAATAGGTGGAAAGGAAGGAGTTTACATGTCTACTGGTACAGCCAAGCTGCACTTAAGGTGTTGGCCAGCCCTCTATCTAAGTAGTTCCAAACTAGTTCGGCAATGCAAGTCTCGACTAAATTATGTTGGTAAAGATAACGAGCTTGCTTTACTCTGGCTGCCGGGCAACTCGGAAGTGCCTGGAAATTAGACATCTGACTCTTTGGCCATAGTTAGCTTAGACCAGGCATTCCCTGATCCGCAACCTATAACAGGTTGGCACTCCCCACTTCAACCATCGAAGCCACCACCAGGAACTGGATACTTCGCTCAGGAATGACTGGGAGCCATCGAGTGGATGATGCAGGTGGGCAAAACTCATGTTGTCTTCAATCTGAGAAGGTTTGCCTAATTATTTCCTCTCACTAAGAAGACGGGACTGCTTTCACGTGACACAAACACCTGACTGTGATAGGCGTAAATGACAACTCCATTTGCCCATCCAGCTTTGAAGTGGAACACCTTTTCAGCTTCTTGCTTGCTTACTTGTTTATCATCGATTTATCTAAATTGGGGCTTTTCTTTTTTGTCAGTTAATGAATTTTAAGTTTGGCGTAGAAATCTTTGCAGTTTTGTTGTTTCAAGTTTTGTTTTTTAAAAATGCCAGTGACGAATATCTTTCGCATCACTTTAAAATTCGGAGCGATAACGATAACAATGATGCCATCAACACAAACATAAATACTTTTTGCTAAATACATCACATGCAAATTCATGAGTGAGCCGATCATGTGAGGAGGACATATATTTCCTCAGAGCAAAATAGTTCTTTCCTGGCTTCAGGAGCTCTGTTTTTTTTTAAACTGGCAAGTGTGTTAATCACATTATTTTATTAAATAGAAAACAAGAAAGTATTTTTATTTTTTATTTTTGCCACTTCGAACTCAATTTTGGAAGTCACCCGCAATGCAAAATTAAAGATACGGGTATTCTTCTACTTTGCAAGGATTTCAAGTTTACCAACCAGCATCTCGATTCACATACGGAAATAGAACCCGAAAAGCGCTCAATACTAGAAATGTTACACCCTTAAAAAGGAGACTAGCTGAAGGACGCGTTCCCAAGCTTGGAACGTCCAAAAGCTATATACAAAAGTTTAAATGTATACGGATTAGTGAATTCCATAATATGGCGCCTTACAAAAGCAAGCATGGCATACGATTTTCTAATACTAAATTGATATGATTTGTGAATGTAAACTTCGAATCAAAAATTACTTCAAGATTATTAATTACATTTGAATGTCCATATTAGTTTAATTATCTATCTGTAGCAAATTTTTATTATAATTTTTTGAAAAAAAAAAAACCTAAAATAAAGTATCCCTTTCCTATATGATTGCCAAGCGCTAAGAAATAGTTTTTCACATTTTCTAACAAACGTGTAATGTTGAGTTGTGTCACTTTTGAATATAGTGTGAGATATGTTTCGAGTGTGTGTGGAATCGGTCCATAAATAAAATTTTTAATAAAATCTTGACACTAGGGTCACCTACAGCATTTTTGTGTTTTTTTTTTTTTGAAAATTATTTATTTTCGCGTTACCAGTGATTATTTCAAAATTTAGCCAAATTTTTAGTAATTTGTCATTCCATAATCTATTTTATAAATAATTTGGATGCCAACTATTTCACCGCGATATACATATCGTCGTTTAAAGTACAAAACCGCGTAACTGACATTTGCTGCCAAAAATGGGATTTGCTCACACAAGCTCTTGGCTCAATCGTTATCCATTCGCCCTAAAATACGCTGGACAGAAATTTGATTTCTTTATAAAAAATTGAGCGAGTTTGAAATATGAGTGTTTTTACTCTCTGGAAAATAATTTACGCAACCTCACATACGCGGTTTTGTACTTTAAACGACGATATCTATGTACTTCAGTAAACTAATCAGAAGTTTTGGAGCCGAATTTAGTTCTGCAGTGATTTAAGGCATAGAGGTTTGTTAGAAAACTCACTTTGCTATGAATATACGAGCATTATTTAAGATGAAAAAAACATACAATTTTAAAACTGAAAACAATAAGCGTTATAAAATTAAAAGCCTTCGGAATTATATATATTTTTTTTATTTCGTTATATCGATGAACAAAAATAGATTGTATTCAACTACATATGTATGTATGTATGTACATATTTGCATACAAAAACTTTGCTAATTCTATGACATTGGAATTTTATATAAATTAAATTTGGCGTGCAGGAATTTATTTTGATGTATTTAGTATTAATTAAAATAGTTAGCTTTATGGCCCCACTGAACACTAATATTATATTCAATTGGAATCATCAATATTAAAATTTAAAGGTCAATTATGTTTGCTTATATTATTTTACGAAAAAATTTTGTTGCAGAATAATTTTTCGCGTTTAAATATGTGCCACGTATGTATGTTTGTATTTATAAGTTATACCAGCGAAATTGCAGTAGGTTTGAAATTAAAAGATTAGGCACCATACATTTTATTTAATATTTAACTAAATTCTATGGCAAGATTTTGCATAGAATATCATAGGAAAGCAAATTTTACCTTTTTTGGTGGCAAACACTAATCTGCATTTCCGAAGGATTTTAGTGCGCTGAATCCGAAGCTGGGCGTAGAATTGCTATATATCACGTTAAGTTTTTGTGTCGTGTAAAAAAATAATTGACGATACTACACATATGACGAAGAACATTCTTCTTTTGCACTTTTGGGTTAGGATATCACAAAAATATGGCCAGACTCGGATCCAGCACTCCCATGTACCTCGGGAATAAAAGAACGTTAGTGCTTTTGCTTCTTGACCCTTGTTATTGGCCTGTATAATCAAAATAAATAAATAACACACATTTCCATTTAACAGCAGAATATATTTCGAGCCCTAACCGCCAAAATAACGTAAGCGACACTTTTTTCAAAATTTTCTTTTTGATGCAGAAATATTCGTAGAGCATCTAGATGCATTTCTGTATCAAAAAGAAAATTTTGAAAAAAATGTCGCTTACGTTATTTTGGCGGTTAGGGCTCGATTTGAATTCATTACAAGTATTCCATGATGAAAATCAACTTATGAAGCTTTTATTAGCCTCACTTACATACAAAGGCTTTTATTTATTTTTTAAGCAATTAAATTCGCATATCAGTTACAATAACTGTGGGCCGCTACGCCTCTCCACATATCGGTCATTGCAATTTTATGATTTTAGCTTCCTTAAAGAGGTGATTGCATATTAGATATGGTCAGTAAAAGAGCTTTCCGTCTACCTGATATCTGCAGTGTTTTTAAAACGAACCTGGTGACTCTTTTATGTGAAACGATTTCCAATTATGATATCTAAAGTTTTTCTGACAGCCAGGCAACTAAGTATTAAATCGCCAGAAAAAAGGCAACTGTTTTTAAAAGTATTTAGTTGCTTAAATCTACCGACCATTTGCATTTGAATGGAAATTGAAAAAGTAACGAACTTAAACGATACACTCGATATCCCTCTTAAAAATGCTCTAACACTTTGCACTACCGTAAATTCTCAACGAACAAAGTCTTAAATTAAACTCAGGTGGCAAGAGTTCTTACCTCACATCGTCTAATTGGATTACATGGAACAACTACTGCAGAAGTAGCTGATTATTAAGTAATTGTATGGGATACAGGATTGAACCCAATGTAGTATGACACTACATTAGAGTAGAAATTTCATGAAATGGTCCCTTGATTTTTCACCACAATGTCGAAACACAAGTTTTTGTTAACTGGTGTTGAAAGTCTTAAACAGCATTTACAGAACTTGCAGGTATATACAAAATGCAGATATATATATATTATATACAAGATGCACTTACAAAAATACAGTCCGCCTTTTTGGAACCGCCATCTTTAGTTTAAAAACTGACACCGAATTCTTATCCAGCGACCGCAATGAACCTCAAAATAATGATTTAGTTAAGCTTATTTGAATATTTTTATTTTATCGACCATTTTTGACAGAAACCCAAAATTTTTTGGCGCCACGCTTCTTTTTAGAGACAGTTATTTTGAGGTTAGACAACTTCTTTTCACAAAGAACCATACGACATCAAAAAGTGCACTTTTGGAAAAATTGTTTTATGTGCTCAAAACAGTATTGCACAAGATGACGTGATGTAAGACGAAGGCGACCGATAGGGTAATAAAATTGCAATCAGAGGCGGTGCCATCTCAGATATAAAATAAGGATGTTAATATTTATTAAGCAAAACTTTTTTCATCATATACCCTCAAATTGTTTGTAACGGGTGATTTTTTTGAGGTTAGGATTTTCATGCATTAGTATTTGACAGATCACGTGGGATTTCAGACATGGTGTCAAAGAGAAAGATGCTCAGTATGCTTTGACATTTCATCATGAATAGACTTACTAACGAGCAACGCTTGCAAATCATTGAATTTTATTACCAAAATCAGTGTTCGGTTCGCTTTACGTCCGATTTATGGTCTACATAATCGACCAAGTGAGCAAACAATTAATGCGATTGTGACCAAGTTTCGCACTCAGTTTACTTTATTGGACATTAAACCAACCACACGAATGCGTACAGTGCGTACAGAAGAGAATATTGCGTCTGTTTCTGAGAGTGTTGCTGAAGACCGTGAAATGTCGATTCGTCGCCGTTCGCAGCAATTGGGTTTGCGAAACACATTTCGAACCGAACACTGATTTTGGTAATAAAATTCAATGATTTGCAAGCGTTGCTCGTTAGTAAGTCTATTCATGATGAAATGTCAAAGCATACTGAGCATCTTTCTCTTTGACACCATGTCTGAAATCCCACGTGATCTGTCAAATACTAATGCATGAAAATCCTAACCTCAAAAAAATCACCCGTTATATCGAGCCGTAACCACCAAAAATTTGTAAGCAAATTTTTTTTCCAAATTTCTGATTCAAAAATAAAATTTTCAATGTGCTTTTCAAAAAAAATAGTCCTAACTATTTGCAAAGATCTGTTGACTTCGGAAGGTGGGGGAATATTTCTATGTTTTTACTATATTTTGCTACATTTGCATATAATAATAATATATTGGCAATATGTTAGTGTTTGGCCGAGCTTCTCCTCCTATTTATGGCGTGCATCTTGATGTTGCCGCCTAAAGGCAAATATCTGCACATTTACACCGACTCCGAACGATGACTGTTTTTTTTATGAGAAGCTCGTTTTCATCGCAGAAATATAATTAGAGGTTTGCCATTACCTGCCGAGAAAAAACATTTTTTTTTTATCTGTTTATGATGTTGGTCGGAAAAACTAACCACTACACCACAGCATATTCACCTTAAAATATGCTTTCAAATTTATTGGAATTTATAATAGTTGTGTGAATATTAAATAATTAACTTTATCAACTTAGAAAAAAATTTGAATTTTAATCTTTGAAATTATTTTTTCGAAAAATCCGAACCCTCGGGGAACACTACTGATCCGCACCCTGATCGGGTCTCATTATCCGTGGCTGACGCCTAGCGCTTCCTATTAGTGGCACAAAATAAGACTAGGCTAGCGAAAAGAAAAATCTAGTTTTGCCCATTAAGATGGTTTCACTGTTTTTAAAAATATATATACTCACACATATAAACATTTAGGGGATTCACAAGACGTGTTAACCGTCGTAAAATCTTAAGCTTAAAACTTGATTATGTAAAATAGCGGTTAAAATGGTTGGGGGGTTGGCTAATTATATATTCTTTATCAGTTTAAAAGAATTTCGGTTTAGTTAGAAATCCCCTAAAACCATTTTAATTAAAAAAGATGTTAACCTTAAGATTTTACGACGGTTAACACGTCTTGTGAATCCCCTATTTGTATGGTTGTTTGAAATTGCTGGGATTCTTAAGGTTTTTTCTCAATCTCTGCTTAGTTTTCTTTTTGCAACCAAGCATGCTAGTATATTAATTTTTAGTTTGTAAGATTGAAAAAATTTGTACGAAATCATATAGGCAGAAATTTTAAACTAAAGAAATTATTTCATAACTTTTTATTCATTATTGAGACAACCTGTTTTCATTGGCATAAGTAAATATGAGGCCACGAGGACCAGAGAAGCCTTTCTATAATTTATTTTATTTTTTGTAATATGAGGCAGAAGGATCTATAAAAAATAATAGCTGTCTTTTACTAAAAAGTTCCTTGCACCTGTAACTAAAAGGGCGTGCCTCTGACTACTACCGTTTCGACTCTAGTAATGCATTTTAGGTGCACTAGAATTTTGTTTGAAATGCTAGTTAGACTACTCTGGCTCTCAAGGCCTCATATGTATCTATGGTAGCCAAAAAAAGCGGAGCGATAGAAGCTAAAAGGCATGAAAGGATTGAGATTAACTTGCCGAAAATATTTTTTAATAAGTACCAATATTAAATGATTGGTGTACTTTACTGATATTAGCGAAATCATTTAGGTGGTTATGGATCCAAAAGACAATGATATTAATTATCGAGGAATTAGTGCTTGGCTTTTATTTTCATGTTAAAATTTTTAATCCATTTGGAATAAAAGAAATTTATAATTTAATTCATACGAATCTTTTTTTTGTACATGCGTACAAAAGTGTAAATTTAAAGCATGTGATTATTTAAAAGCTTAAATGAATTACAAAATACATATGTCTTTGTATGATCCGAATATTTTTGTACCAAAAATTTTTGATAACTCAACCACAATTTTTTCTTCATCCTTAACAATACACATATTACCATAAATAAAAACTGTTGCACGTTCAATACATTTGACCTACATTGTATTAGGAAAAGCAAAATAATGCAGACCATAATCGAAATCACAATCAGTGTGCATTTCCAAAAAAGAAACATGTACACATCTGGGTATATAAATTTGCATGAAAGCAGATACGTGAAAAATTTCTAAAGAAATACCTTGGCATGTCAGCGACACACGCACACAAACACAAACACATTATTGGGCACAGGGAAAAGCAACGTATAGTAAAACTGTCGAAAATGTTTGCAAAAATGCAACGCTTGAAACGAAATTCGTTTAGTGCATAGTAAGTAAGTAAGAAGAAGAAAAGAATGCGAAGGAATAACAAATGAGACGAAAATTCAAAGGCAGTCGCTGCATTGACATAGAAATCAGAATGAATGATGATACAAGGCAGAGGACTATTGAAAAGGCACTGTAGGTACATCTACAAAATCTATGTATGTATGTATGTATAAATAAAGGACACGTGCACAATGAGTGCAATGTCCTTGTACACACGCACACACACACATATATGTATAAACATAGACACATTTCTTCCGATATCAATGAGTAGTATTGGGTTGACATTAAAGCGCAAATAAAAATTCACAGACGCTAGCTGGGTCAAGAGTTGAACGAAGAGCATGTAGAGTATTCGTGCTTATGTGTTAACGTATAAGCATTGAACTTACACTTTGGTAGCAAAATTTTTGTATGCGTGTATT